TCTACCTTAGGAAGAGCCTCGTAAGAAGGCAAAATTACTGAAAAATTTGTCATTCAAGTGCTAGCTGGTAGAATAGCTTCCCATGGGTACGTGTTTGCAGTACCCATGAAGCAGTGCTGGACTTTTGAAGACAAAGCAGGGAAGCTGAGTACTCAGAAAGTTGTTTTGAGCTGTACAGCAAACAGAAATGTAACAGGGAAGACCTGTCTCCACTTCCCCTTGGCCACCCCCCTCATCCCTTCCATCCATTGCAGAAATGCCTTCTAGATTTGGAGACAAACGACTCTGAGATGAGTGTTTGTTCAAGATCCAACTTGCCTACACCTTTCCTTTGGGAAGGAGGTGTCCGTGAAAGGAGACTGATACAGACCAAGACAACAAAAAGGAACTTTTAAGTCTGAATCTGATGCAAACTCTCTAGACAAGCCTGTGTCTGTATTTACATCTGTTTCCCCCTTGGCAAATGTTGGTCTGTTGTTACAAGTGGTCATCCTCATGTTTCTGTACATGGGAAAACACAAATCCAAGCACTGTTACTGTTTTGTTTGCTAACTTTTTAAATGGAACTTTTGATTAATATTCAACAAAATATGATATAAATTTTATTACTTAATAATAAAATCAAGTCACAGAGTCAGTGAGTCTCTCTTACCGTATACTGACCCAAGATTTGCAGTAGATACTGTATCAACTTTCTGCTGAAATTGGAAAAATAATTAGCTACCTTTTTGGGTAAAATGACAAACAACTCTATTCTCATCTGTACAGAGGCTTCTCACAAAATGTTTTTTTTTAAAATCTCTGAGTATTTAATAGTGAACATTAAATACTTGGTCTCCCTCTGATTTCAAGTTTCATTGCTGGTCTTTTGCCAGTAACAGGACTGGTACAGAGCAAGACTGAACGCCAAGCCTGGAATAAAAACAAAGCAGGATCTGCTAAAAGTCCTTGTTTCTTCTTGTTTGCTTTTATTATGTCAAAGATTAGAAAAAGGAAAACATAGACATTGTCTGGGTCAAGCTGAACTGCAGCCCAAGGACAGAGCCCTTTCAAAATATTGTTGGGGAGCCCAAATATCCTCCAGATTGTTGCCTGGGTTGTTAGGGTCTGCTGTTGGATACCAGTCTTTGGTAAATCCACCAAAGAAGGGTGCAGACTTGTTTTAATGGATAACCAGAGAAGATTTGATCATTCAAAGTTGAAAGGTTGAAAGGTTGTGCTGTACTGAAAGCTATTTCTTGCCTTCATTGTTTCTCATTTCCTTCTGCAGCTGCTCCATTTCAAAGTTCGTATCTATACTAAGTAGCCTATGTGGTATCAAAATTCTTAGATGCAAACCTTTCATGTTCATCTAGATCTGTATTTCTGGTAGTGGAACCATTCTGTGCCATGGGAAGGGTGCTGCTACTTGGGCTACATCAAGAGCTTTCCAACCTGTGAAGTGATCTTCACAGTTATATATTCAGTAGAATGTGATGCCTGACTGTGCAGCAGTTCCTAGTAAAGTATCAAAGTTTATGAAACCTACCATACTTGTTTATGTGAAGCTAACAAAATTGATTTTTCTTATTGTAATTTATTGACTAAGAATTTTTCTGTGCATAGGTACTGGAACTCTTTATTTTCCATGTGCTGGTGATATACTGGTGTGGGAGACTGGGAAAGTGTTGACAGTTTATATGCCCAAAGGGAGGTTGAGTGATTTGCTTCAGGATCCCGGTGCAGCTTGATGGTTGTTTTTGAATGCAGAGTTAATGCTTTGTGATGAAAATTCAAGCAACAGACAATAAATACAGTGAGAAGAGGTGCGGAGTTATAAGGATTTGAGTGCATTTTGATGCTCCTGGCTCTTAAGCAGCTTTAGCAGTTAACCACTAGCTATGTTCAAATGGAGATGTCCTATGCAAATACATTGACCTTGTTCTTCATTAACAGACTCCTGTGGTTCAAAGGGGAGGCTGCTTCTGGATTCAGTTAAAGTAAGAGATCTCTAGCTTGTCCCCAAATTAGCTCTTGGAGAGACAGTTCCAGTTCTGTCCTTCACTCAGATGATGCAGATCTTCACTGCCTTGCTGACAATCTCTGAGTTTTACCATTCATTTATCCTCTGGCTGTTTAAGTACCTAAGTCTGTAAATAGAGATGAGCTGGAATACCTGAAGTAGGTTTGATGTTGAGAAATTTCCTTGTATAAATATAGCTCCTGTGTGTGTGTGTAAAGGGGCTGTTTCTTTGCACTCAGTGCAGTTCTTCTCAACATTAGTTTGTTGAAGTCCTCCAGACTCTAAATGGCTTCTGGAAAACAGCCTCCATCTCCTTCATGCTCATCAGTTATTTCATGTTTGCCTTACAGAGCTTTTTGGAGGCTCCTTAAGGCAACAGGAGAAGCTGGTCAACGGGAAAGTCAGCTAAGATGTTCACTTCTGTTGACACATTGCCTGATGTAGAATGGCCTTGGGATCATGCCTTCATTCCCGTTAACTTCATTATGCTGTGTCAAGCTTACTGCTAGGATGGTCTTTTAATACAGTTTACAGCCATTATCATTGTAAATAAAGCACTGCGAAGTTCCTTACAGAAAGCATAAAAAAGCAAGCTCCCTCTGGAGATACTTAGAATAATGTAAGCCAAAATAACAAATGGGACATGCCAGGTGTGCATAGAGCTAAGAGAGGGGAAAATCATTCCTTTCTTGGAGAGGAGTGAAGAAGGTGGAGGCCACAGGCAGGAGAAATGTATGTCTGAGGTGAGAGATTAGTATGTACAGAGTACGTGTTGAGCCAGGATGGAAGTACAGGAAGCTTGAATTTGAGGTGGAACCAGAAACTGGTTGAAACTGAGGGGTGGTCACCACAATGTGAAAGGAAGAGCTAGAACACGCATCAGAAACAGTGCAGGATGTTTGCTTTCAGATCTCTGTTGAGGTGAGGTCTCAGAGCTGTGGCTTGTTCAGTCTGGTTACTGTGCATACTTAGCTGCTGCCTCACCAGGGTATTGTCTGTAATGTGCACATCCTCTTGGTGTGCTCGTAAAGATGCACACTATGGTAGCTCCCTATTTTTAAGCTGAGGCATAGAGGGACTGAAAGAGCTGTCTTGTTATGCTTTAGATAAGTTTAGATACTCTAGCATGGCTTCATGATCAGCAAGTTTAAGCTAGCTCCCTAATCACTGCATCATCCTAGCTCCACAAGTTGTCTTTTAGCTGCTGTATAAAAGGGCATGTATGTCTAGACACACGGAGATGTTTAAGATGCATTAGGTAACAAGTTACTCTGTCTCTTAAGAAAAATAAGATATCTTCTGTCTTTGAAAGCTGACTGCTCTCCTTGAGACTCTGGAAGTACTGGGGGCAGGAGACTCATGAAAACTGTCTCTATGTTCTGGGTATTAATGGCTTCAAGTAATTGACAAACCCAGCTTCTGCTTCAGTGAGCCAAAGAGGCATTTTATTCAGGCTATACTGCAAGGGTGAGACAGCACCTGGGTCTAACAGTCTTGATGACTGACTGTGCTCTGTCCTTTACTTTTCCCAAGTGGTAGCCAGGTGGAGCCTAACTTTGGGGAATTCACTCGATGTGTTTTGTGGAGATTAGCAAATACATCAGACACACATGTTGCCACTGAAGGGTGCTTCATGCTCTGTGAAGGAAAGCTACTTGTCTGCTATAGGTCATGATGTGGGTACATGAAACCCCGATGGAGGATCTTCTTATCCTCAAAAGAATAGTCACCTTTTAGCAAGCCATCAGTTCAGACTGTGTAGTCAGCAGAAGGCAACAATTTGCCAGTGCTAGTAGGAGTTGGGGGAAAAAGTCTGTATTCCTGCTTAGTGAAATCACTAGCTGGGAACAGATGATGCCATTCTTTTCTCTCCATCTCAGTATCTAGTGAAGTACATCTTTTGAGGCCATCTCATCATACCCCTAAGTATCTTTTTGAGGATGTTTTGTTCTCTGAAGTAACCAATTTAAGGAATTAGGACTCATGGAAGTCCTTAGTAATTTACTTGCAGGACCATTTGTCATGGATTTAAAGAAATAAGTGGAAACGTAAAGATGACTTTGTGAAGTTGGGTGAAGCAAAGGCAGACACGGACTTTGGAAATGTTAATCTGATTTTGGATAGGGTAAAATGGTTGCTTGTTTGTCCCATTGACTTTATGGGGCCAGGTTGGGGCTGTGATGAAGGAACTCAGCTTCTGTTCTGAGAAACGAAAGGAAGCTTTATTGGGTTTGCAAGAGCAGTACCTGGCAGCAGTGTCTGTGTTCATGGCCAAAATGCAGTAGTGCAGTCATGACCTCAGGGAATGGGAAATGAGTTCCCAAGATGAAGATCTATGAGAACATTAACTTTGTTTTGTTCTTGTAGTCAGGAGAGGAGAGTGTGAACTTAGAGAAGTAGAAAGATAGATGCTTTCAAAACTCAATGAAGACACAGTAAAGCAGCCATCTCTTCAGTTCTGCCAAAAAAAAAAAAAAGGAAGAAATTCCAGCCTTTATCATCCAGCTCTTTATACTGTCTTCAGGCCAGCTAGAGGACAGCAATCATAGCAATATTAAAGAACACAGATATAGTTCTGAGCTTAGTTCAGGCAGTTGTGACGTTCACATGCAGTAATTCAATGCAAGGCTGACCCCAAGATAGCAGTATGTCATCTTTTTTTTCCTAACTGCTTTTCTCAGTCCTGCTCACAGCTGTTACTGTGGCAGTTTGCCACTGGCTCCCTTCTGAGCTGATGTGCTTGTAGCACAGGCTTCACTGCTGATGGTGAGTCCACAGGAGAAGTTTGCCATCCTAAAACCTGTCACATTTTTGTTTGTTTCAAATGTCAGTGTCTAGACTGGTGACTTGCTGCGTTGCCCAATGCTTCCCCTTGAAGAGAAGCTGGACACCGAGGTTTTTAATGTTGCTTGTTATCTTCCCCATGTCATTATTTTTCCACCTTCTTCAGCCAATCTAATGCTTTTTTGTTTTTTCCCCCTTTGTATTTGTTTTGCAGGAGTATATTGATGCTCATCCAGAAACCATTATCCTGGACCCTCTTCCAGCTATTCGTACGCTTCTGGACCGATCCAAGTCTTACGAGCTAATTCGGCAAATAGAGGTGTACATGCAAGGTAGGCCAATACCTGCTCTCCCTGAAGGCTTTTACTGTGACTAGAGAAGGAAGCAGCTGGCTTCTGGAGGCTGGATGTGAGCTTTGAAGTAGTAGCTCTGGGCCCCTTGCATTCTCTCTCTCCATGGGAGCATGAACACTGAAGCATTCCTGTGTTGTAGGATTGCCCTCTGGAATCCTGTGCTCTTCTTTTTCCATGTACACAAAGGAGGTTTGCATCTGGTTAAAAATATTATGTGGATTTAATGGGGAGCATATTTACTACAGTGAGCACTCCCAAAAAATCTTCTGGAAAACATTCTTTTTGTGCGTGCTGGTAAATTTAAATGAATGTACAAACTTAGCAACTTGTCATAAGAATCATGAGGCCTGAATTCGGGGGGAGATTTATGGAAGAAAGAAAAAATTGTTTTGGAAAGGACTGAAAGAAATTAGATTGTAAATAGAGCTAAGACCTTTGAGAAGCACTGGAAGACTATTGCACAAGTTAACTGCTAGGAGGAACATAAATGCACTTCTGGATTGGCTAGTTACCTGTTGTAGATTGTTGCCTGCAGTTGGCATCCTTTGAGTTATATTCCTACATTTAGAAGTCACTCCTTTTCAACCTGAATAATTCTAGTATCTTACAGTTTTAACTGTTGTAACTGTTGGGTTAAGTTAATCTTTCCCTTTTTACTTCTGTTACTGACATTCTTGAAACATTTATTGGCTTTTGAGATTAAATCTAGAGTAACTCTGGATATATCTGTTTCATATGTTAAATGACTATACTGGGGAAATTGCGTTGCTGAATTATGTTCTATTGTGGCATTATTGGAATTACCATTGTGATTGTGTTACTGCTATTTTGATAGGTACATAAGAAACTCTTCAGTTTGTGTTTTTATGATTGTGGATTTACAGACATACTGTTTGCATCTGACCTGCTTGGCCCCATCGGCAGTGTCATTATGTAAAAATAAGGCTAGTAATCAGCAAGCTCCTTTGTCTTTTGGAGTCCCTTTAGGAGAAAATATTCAATTACTTTCAAAGGATTTTGTTTTGGAGTGGTTATTGCTGTTTGTGAGTAGCAGAGAGGTGCTGAAGGAACCCTCTGCTCTGAGGAAGTGGTTGGGATTCTGTTCTAACAGTGGAGAGATTCAGTAGGATTCTTTCATTAAATTGCTATCAATCTTATTATTGTTACCTCTGTGAGAACAGTATGTTCAGGAAAACATTGAGATTTTGCAAGTAATTTGTCTTGCACATATTTTGGCATCCTCTGGTGAAACTGATGGGGAAAAGAAATAAATCCTTAAGGAAGAAAAAGAACAAAGTAGGTTTGTATTCAATTAAAACTGATAATATGAAAAGAAGCTGTTCGTAAAGTTGAGGAATGAGGTAAGGAGAAACTTCACCTGTTCTTACTGTCTGCTGCAGTTTTTGGTGACTGTATTTCCCCTGTCCTTTTGTGTGTCCCTGCACTCCTATCCCCATCTCATTTCTCTATCATCATCAGAAATAAAATGACAAAGACCTTGAACCAACTTTGTATTTAGCAGAGGAAATTTCAGAACAGCTGAGTAGAATAACAGAACAGTAGAATCACTTAGGTTGGAAAAGACCAACCATTAATCCAACTCTACCAAGTGCAGCACTAAGCCATATTTTAAAGCGCCACATCTAGACAACTTTTAACACATCCAGGGATGGTGACTCAGCCACCTCTCTGGGCAGCATGTTCCAATGTCTGACCACAAATAATTGGCTAACTTCTTGTCCTGGCCTAAGCAGATCAGCTTCTGTTCCCACACATAAGCACTTAGAAAACTCAAACAAGAAGTGAGTATATCTGTGAGCAGCATGAGAAGCTGCATCTTTCTTGTTCTGAAATTTCAAAGTGGAAGTCACTACCAAGAAAATAATAGCCTCGTCTTTAGCTGTAACTAAAGAGCTTATTTTATCACAAGATAAATTCAGTGCAAGAAATTAAGTTCAACAAGGCCAAGTGCAAGGTCCTGCACCTGTGTCAGTGCCACCCTGGAATAGGTTGCTTATGGAGGTTGTTGATGCCCCTTCCCTGGCAGTGTTTAAGGCCAGGTTGGATGAAGCCTGTGCAGCCTGGTCTAGTGTGAGGTGTCCCTGCTTCTAGCAGGGAGATTGGAACCTGATGATCTTTAAGGTCCCTTCCAACCTTAGCAATTCTATGGAATTATCTCTTCCAAAGGAATGCCAGGAACTCTGGAGGGTTGAACATACATATAAAGAGAAATCCTCTGCTGTTGAAAGCCTTTCAAAAGAAATTTCAGTGTTGGTTTACAGACCAATTTTGTATTCAGTTGATCATAACCTCTATTTGAATTCTGTTTTAAAGCAACTACAAGTGAAGTATAGTATTTATTTATGATTTTCAGTTTACACTTAATTTCAACCCTGTAGACCTTACAGTAACTATATAACTAAAGGTTTGCACTGGTTGGGTGAAAGGGAAAGTGATCACATTGTTCTCTGACTCCAGTTTGTTCAGTGCTCCTCCCTCTGTGTTACCTGCAGCTTTGAAAATGGCAGACATTGCTAAGGTGACTGTTCTGTAGTAGGGCCCCATGTTCTATAAACAGCTTGATTTTAAATGTACTTTTCTTTCAGATGTCCAAGTTAATGCTTTGCCTGTCCTTTTGACAGTGAATTCTCCATGCTTCCTGGAAAATCCCTGTTTGAAATGTCTAGAACTGGGCATCTGGATATCATTAGACTTTCTGAAAGGCTGTAGCTTGCTCTTTATTGAGTCAAGTGTCTTGACTGATAAATACTTTGATCCAGCCTCCTGAGAATGGGTTTAAAAGATGCTTTGTGGCACACTCCTCGTCTTTGCTACCAGAGTCTATGGCCAGTAAAGGAACAAAGGTGGAGGAAAACTAGTAACTAGGCAAAAGTTGTATGTGTACTCTGAAGGAAAGCACAAGGTTGAACCTGGTCTTCCCATGTCTTAGAGTGACCCTGTAACCACTCAGTCATGGTGGAAATAAAAGCTTCACAGATTTGCAGAATCATCAAGGTTGAAAGAGACCTCTTCAGATCATATAGTCCAGCTGCCTGCTCAAAGCAGGTTCCCCAGGTCTGTGTCCAGTTGTTCCACAGATGGAAACTACACGACCTATCTTGGCCACCTGCTCCAGGATTCACATTGAGTCTGATGTGTTAGCATGCAACTAGCAGCTGATTTGTTGTTTTCTTCTGTCTAGATAGTGATATCTCCCTTGAAGGGAAGTGGGACTCTTGTGGGGGGGAAAAAAAACCCATAACAAAACAAAAGCGCTTAAAGAGCTATTTTAGCATTTATTTTAATGGATTATTTTTTGGAAGCAATAGTCTGGCCAGGGCTGTGACTTCCTCTTTTTCCTGTTCTCTTCTTATTTTGAGTGCAAGCTCTAAAAGAGCTAGTCATTCTGAAACCTTCCCTTCTGAGTCTTCTTTTTTTAAAAGATTTGAAAAAATAAAGGCTGTATTCCCAGCTTTTCCCCCTACACAGCTGGCAGGTCTATCTTGAAATAAATCACTGAATACATTTTTTGGTGTAGCAGTTGAGTTCTCTCAGAAGCTGTATTGCTTTGTTTACTTATCTGTAAAGAATTGCTTCTGATACACAAGCACTGTAGATCAGGTTCTGTAATGTTTGGTGAAAGATTAGCAGCCCTATTTAATGGAAATTTCAGTTTTAGCAGAGTTTTGTGTTGTTGGAGCTATGTCAGCCTTTTCTGAGCTTGAACCTAATGAAAATAACCAAATTCTCAATGTCATTTTGAAAAACTGATCCTACAGCCTCAGTATTCAAGATCTTACTTTCTAAATTATGCTTAAGATGGTAATAATCACTGTGACTAGGCATTTAACTAACCTTTTTATATTAAATTTTTAGTTTTAAGATTAAAAGCTTCTAAAATTCCCAACACATCTTACAAGTAATAATCTAAACTGAAGGAATTTAAAACCAAACTAGGTAAACATGCTACTCACTCGGTGCTTTACCTAAATGGAGTTCACTTCTGCTACTCAGCTTTCTTGGCTGTCTCAAGGGACCTAGAAGTTTCTTTGATACAGTGTAAGAACTTCAGATATTGCACAGGCTGGAGTTAATTTCTTTAACCACTTCCACCTGGCTTTTTTCCCATTTTTAAAATCTTCTTAGGTTCTTAAATTTAACTCCAAATCTAAAATTTCTGCAGAAGCTTGTCTGCATGGGATTCCCCTAGAAGTACGTACTCCTGCAGGAGCCAAGCTGTGACTCTGAATTTCTCTCTCTCCTAACATTCTTTTTTGAAGCACAGGAACTGTTCCCTCAGGCCACTCCAAACAGTATAAAACCCTTTAGCCGTGATATTTTAATCCCAGCATGTAATCAAAATAATATGTCTGTTTACTTTTATATGAAATGCTGGAGTTGTTGTGTACACTGCTTTCTGATTTTGGAGGTTATTACAGAACAGATCATGGCATTCTTCTCATTTCCCTCAATTTCTTTAAACCAGATTCTGTCTTAGAAGTACTCCTCGTTTGTATCTTTTATGACTTGACAGAGAAGCTCAGGACAATGTAATGGGTAAGGTGTTTGATTTGGGTCTCTGGGTTTTCTGCTTGGTGCTAGTTCTGACTTGCTGCATGGTTTTGGGCACAGCATGTCATTCCTCTGTATCTCTTCCTTCTCTTGACATCTTCCCTTTAGATGTCACATTTTTCTTGTCAGGATCCCCTTTCCAGTTACACATACTCTGAAACAGTGAGTCTCTGATGCCAAGCAGTCCTTGTAGGCATTGTTTTAACAGAAACTGTAGAACTGTCATTGAGTAGAAAAATGGGTATTTACAATTCAATGCCAAAGCAGGTAGTTGGGGTTTATTTTTTTTAAGTTATGGAGCATGTACATTACTGGAGTGGTGCATACTCATAACTTCTCAAAATCAGGCCACCCAGTTAAAAAAATAGCTGTATATACATAGATCCAGGCCTTCACCTTTTGAAACT